ATACCGTACCCTGACTTGCACATCTGAACATCTGACACAAAGCCTGATTCTGTGGTCCTACCGTACTCTGACCTGCACATCTAATCCGAATACGAAGCACCCTAATACTGTATCAATACCGTACCCTGACTTGCACATCTGAACATCTGGAACAAAACCTTCTGATACCGCGATACTCTGACCTGCACATCTAATCCGAGTACTGTATCAATACCGTGCCCTGACTTGCACATCTGAACATCTGGCACAAAGCCTGATACTGTGGTTCTACCGTACTCTGACCTGCTCATCTAATCCGAATACTGTATCAATACCGTACCCTGACCTGCACTTCTGAACATCTGACATAAAACCTTCTAATACCGCGATCCTACCGTACTCTGAGATGCACGTCCTAGCAGGCTAAGGAAGTTTCTGATACCGTGATCGCACTGTCATCTGACCTACACATCTACCCAGATAGAGTGTCTCTGATACATAGTAATGTCGCACACAGACATGAACATCCTAAATAAGATACGTAGACAAGAGCATCTTACATGCGCGTCCAAACCCGGATACGGCATCCTCTGATACCGTAACTCTATCGCACTGACGTATAATCACAGCACTTTTGAATCCAGATAAGTTTGAGTTTCACGGAATCAAATCTCTCTCAGCAACCATTACAAGAACTACCATTACAAGAACGGAATGGTGGAACACACCATACAGAGATCTTTCACTCGGAATTTCAGAGGCCGCGTGAAATTTTTTTTAGTAGCGTTCATTTCTTCGCGTACGATACACTGTAGGCCCCGAAAAAACCTTCCACAACGATGACAGGACCCTATGCACCTGAGGACACGTGTATGGATGCGGGGCGACCTCACGCCTGCACCTGCGTTACTTTACAACCGCATCTCAGGGAGGGAATCCGTTCACACCACTTCTTTTTTTTTTTGTGAGGTCGTCCACTCATCTACCTTCCTCAATATTATTTCTTTGCAAAATATAGTGAATTTTCAACCCCATCTCCGACAAAAAACTGACAAATGTGGAAAGATGAGTTGCCCCATGTACTTGAATGTTTTTTCGAATTCTCAGCGTTTTTCATATGAGTACTTACTTTGCATAAATTCAAGAAGTTTGGATTCGAGATAATCACACATATCATGTATTTTCACTTGGATCAGATTAAAAGAAGCGATTTGCGCCATGTCTCGGACTTTCCTCGCAGTCTCGATATCAGGCCAGCTTCCTTCCTCAATCCTCTCTTCTTTTGCATGAAATCCATGCATTCTATCCTTCCTTCTTCAACAAAAAATTACCAGATTGAAAGAAGCGAGATGCGCGATGCACTTGAGCTTCCCACAAATTCCCGAGGTTTTCGTTATTGGTACATACGTTCAATCGCTCAAAGAGGAACAAATTTAATAGAATCGAATCTACCATGAACTTTTCTCAATGAAATCATATTGAAAAGGTGAGGTGCGCCATGCACTTGATTTTTCCTCAAGTTCTCGATATTCTTCATAGGTACTTACCTTCAATCGCTTGAGGGGGATTCGATCTAAGCAAATCAAAGATATATGGATCTATATGGATTTTTTCAATGAATGAAAACATATTGAAAAGGCGAGGTGCGCCATGCACTCGATTTTTCGCAATGTTCTCGATGTTTTGACTTGAAGCTTCAATCGCTTGAAGGAGAATAGATCTGATCAAATCAAAGCTATATGGACCTATATAGATTTTTTTCAATGAAAACATATTGAAAAGGCAAGGTGCGCCATGCACTTGATTTTTCCCCAAGTTCTCTATATTCTTCATAGGTACATAGATCCAATCGCTTGAGGGAGATTCGATCTAATCAAATCAAAGCCATATGGATCTATATAGATTTTTTTCAATGAAAACATGTTGAAAAGGCGAGGTGCGCATGCACTCGATTTTTCCCCAAGTTCTCAATGTTTTTCATAGGTAGTTAGATTCAATCGCTCGAAGGGGATTAAATCTAATCAAATCAAATCTATATGGATCTATATGAATTTTTCAATGAAATTATATTGAAAGGCGAGGTGTGCCATGCACTTAGGTTTTCCTCAAATTCACAATATTATTGCTATCGGCCTTTCGTGCATTTCATTCAGCCGGACCAGCTTCCTCTCTTCTACTCACTGCTTCCTCTGCATGGAATCACCGCATCCTACCTTTTCTTCTACAGAAAATGGCCAGATCGAAAGACGAGTGCCGCGCCATGCAACCAAACTTCTCTCGAATACTCGACACTCTCTCTACTGGATACTTCGTTATTTTCACTTACAGAGCTTTAGATCTAATCTAATTTAATTTTCCATGTAATTTATTCACTCAGATAACCTTCCTCTATAGTCTGCTTCCTGATTCTTTGCACTCAATATTATTCGATTCGTCTAGATGAATCTCCAACCAGTTCCCCATGTAGAGTCCATTTTTACTATAACGTTGTTGCAGTTTTGGCTCAAACTCCTGATATCTGATCATCAATTTCCATCATCTCAGAGAAGCCACAGCACAGTCTACGCTATTGCTTTATCAGGTAAGTGAACTTGCTTCAGAGCATTGTTTGTATTCTTGGTATTATTTCCCTTTCAAATTGTATTTTTCACGCTTTTTCACGCATCTCACGCTTTTTTATTTATTTCAAATAATTTTATGCTTCTTTGGCTACAGTGGTCCTACAATTGCATATGTACAACACTTATTGAGAATGTAAACCATGAAAGTTAACGCCGTAGTCTCAGAATTATTAGATTTAGATTACATGATTCATCGGCACGCGTGTTTAAGAATTAATTATATTAATTGTAGTTTCTCCTCTCCTGATCCATTTGTGATTATTCATATCGTTTTGATCACCAGATATCTGTTGCACTAAGTTAGGTAAACCATTATGTAAGTTAGCCCGCTGTCTTTTGGGAACCCTTACTATACAGTGCCGTTCTTCATAATTGCCCATACTAGAAATCAGCGGAAGCAAACATTATTAGGCCATTGCGTGAGATTTTAACGAAATTTAATCCAAATGTAATAACCTCAAATGACTTATACTTACTCACTGCGTTGCTTCTAATTAATGTGGTTAATACTTCAGTAGAAAAAAGATTTCTACGACAGCGTAATTAATACTGTGAAAACAGCGAAGCACTTAACGCAGCGAATTTGCCTGGAAATTTTTGGGTGTTTCGGCAAACATAGATGGAACTAGAGAAAATTTTCCTACACGCTTATTAATGAACCCTTCAACATGGAACATGCATTCTCTTGACAGAGTTAATGCTGACTTCAGAACATTTCTTTGATGTCGGCAAATATCCTGAATGGTATTGAACTAATGAGCTTTCCTACATGCTTAAAGAAATTTTTTATTGTGAATGGATCACAAATTCCAAAGTCTTTCCTTGATTTAATTTTAATAGAAATACGTAGAACGTCTCGATCATGGTCAAGGATTTGCTAAGAACCTCTAAGTAAAGATAGCGTTGTCCAAACGGAGAAAGATCGTGGTTTCAGCAAGGTTCCTCCATGAATTTGTATGAACAAATAACTCTAATACTGTCTTTGTTCAGCCTGAGACATGAAGGCTGCGTCAGAGTTGAAATAAACGAGAGGGGAATAAGTAGAAAGAGGGTAGTTCTAACAGAGGGGACGGGTAGTCGTACTGAGTCTCTTCCAGATAGAAAAAAGGGACAAGGAAAACGTCGAATTCATGAACGGTTTTCATTACAACACTGTTTTCTGGGTGCCATGATGTTTCTATATAAATATTGATTCAGATTTCGATACTAACTCCACTTTGCTTTACAGAGAACAATGAGTGGAATTGAAAGCTATCATCCTGTTAGCGAACAACTTAGAACAAGAATAAGAACTGAGCAGGAGGAAGAGAATCAGCAGAGAACGCGTCGGTCGGAAAGAATCAGAATGCAAAGAGAGCAAGGAAGAGAGGGTCAGCAACGAGCTCGCCTAGAAGGAATTGTTGAAAGATCGAGAGTGCGAAGAGAGCAGGACGGTGAAGATCAAAGACGGGCTCGGCAGTCAATGGACACTCAGAGGGCTAGAACACGGAGAGAACAGGAAGGAGAAGAGCAACGCCGAGCTCGCCTAGGTAGAGTTGTCGAAAGAGCAAGAATACGGAGAGAGCATGAAGGAGAAGAAGAACGAAGAGCTCGCCAAATAAGAGATACTGAAAGGGCTAGAGTGCGAAGGGACCAGGAAGGAGAAGAGCAACGCGGAGTTCGATTAGAAAGAGTTGGTCAAAGAACAAGAATTCGAAGGGAACAGGAAACGGAAGAGCAACGACGGGTGCGGCAGTCAATGGACACTCAGAGGGTTAGAACGCGGAGGCAGCAGGAAGAAGAGGAGCACCGACGTACTCGCTTAGAAAGAGTTGCTGAAAGAGCTAGGATCCGAAGAGAACAGGAAAGTGAAGAGCAACGACGAGTACGCTTAGGAAGAGTTGCTGAAAGAGCAAGGATGCGAAGAGAGCAAGAAGGAGAAGAGCAGCGAAGAGCTCGCCAAATAAGAGACGCTCAGAGGGCCAGATCACGAAGAGAACAGGAGGAAGAGGAGCAACGACGAGCTCGCTTGGAAAGAGTTGCTACAAGAGCAAGAATACGCAGGGAGCAGGAAGAAGAAGAGCAACGGAGAGCTCGCCTTGCAGGAGCTGCTGCAAGAACCAGGGCGCTACGAGTTCAAGAGGGCGAAGAGCAACAAAGGACTCGACAGTCACAAGATGCAGCGCGGGCGAGATCTCGGAGACAGCAAGAAGGCGAGAGTCAACGAGAGGAACGAAACATTTTGACTGCGGCAAGGGAACGATCACGAAGAGCGAGTTTCACGGAAAGTCAAATTGAAGAAAGACGGCGTTTGGAATCGCAAAGGCACCATGTGAGAAGCAGAACACTGGCAGCCAGAACAAGAAGATTAGCTCTATCGAATATCGAACCAGAGGAGCACTATGACGGGCTCATGAATGTCGAGTGTGAGAGTTGTGGAGCTCAACACTTCAGGTCTGAATCGAGAGGGCGCAGAGCTACTTTCAATGACTGCTGCAATCATGGGAATATAACATTGGAGCATTTTACCAACTACCCCAGGCAACTCCGTCGGCTGTTGACGAGTCAAGAAGCCGACTCGAAAGAATTTCGCGAGCACATCCGCAACTACAATAGCGCCTTTGCATTTGCGTCTATAGGAGCTCAGCTGGATACTCCACGATCAGGACCTTACTGTTTTCGCATTCACGGCCAAATATACCACAGGATCGGGCCTGCACGCCCGGAGGAGGGTCAACCGCCACGATACGGTCAGGTGTACATTCTTGACACATCAATGGCTGCAGATGAAAGAGCAGGAAACCCGGCTAATGTACAATGCAAACCTGCTCTAATTCGGTCTCTGAGCGCGCTTTTCCATGAAATAAACGCTTTTGCGCAAGCGTACAAAATGCTTAACGATGTTGCTCTCGAGGAGGAGGCTCGAGCGTTAAGGGAAGGAAGGTCAGCGATGCCGGTTAGAATGGTGTTTCAAAGTTCGAATTTGGACCCACGTCGCTACAATGAGCCCACAGCTAACGAAGTGGCTGTTGTATATGTTGGAGAGGAAGGAGACGTGCCAGCAGAACATAATCTCGCCGTACATCTGCAATCAGGTGGACTGCGAAATATTCGCGTTTATGATGCCGAATGTGATCCCCTTTCATACCCAATTTTCTTTCCTCGCGGAGAACTCGGCTGGCATCCGAATATGATGAAAAACCCATCAGAGAGGCGAAGAACAAGAATAACCCAAAAAGAATACTATTCAAATATGATTGCTGTAAGGGCAGAGTTCAATCCTTTACACTTTGCGGGCAAACTGTTCCAGCAGTTTTTGGTGGACAGCTATGTAAAAATTGAACAAAATCGTTTAAACTACGATCGAACCCATCAGAAAGAACTCCGGGTGGACACCTACCGCGGACTAGCTGATTACGTTGCCGGAGATATGGACATCGGAGGCCCACCAGGATATAGAAGGGTCATTCTACCTTCGTCGTTTCCTGGATCTCCTCGAGCCATGGTACAAAACTACCAGGATGCTATGGCAATAGTTTCGAAATATGGAAAGCCAGATCTGTTCATTACATTCACATGCAATCCAGCATGGAGGGAAATAGCTGAACAGTTAAGTACTGGACAAACAGCCTCTGATCGGCCAGACATTGTCGCTCGAGTGTTCCACATCAAGTTGCAAGAACTATTTCTAGATCTTTTCAAACGGAAAATATTTGGAACTGTGGTTGCTCACATCAGTGTGATGGAGTGGCAGAAAAGAGGTCTTCCTCACTGCCATATACTGCTGACGTTAGCTGGAGAGGATAAACTTAGAAATGCAACTGAAGTTGATGCTGTTGTGCAAGCAGTAATTCCAGATCCAGTGGCAGAATCCCGACTTCATGCTATTGTCACGGCTTGCATGATGCATAGACCCTGTGGTTTGGACAACCCAAACTCACCGTGTATGGTGAATGGACAGTGTTCGAAAAAGTTCCCCAAATCATTCCGAGAGGCGACAAACATAGAGGTGGATGGTTACCCAGAGTATAGACGGCCGAACGATGGGAGGACAATACAATACGGTAGCGCTACACTAGACAATAGATCTGTGGTCCCATACAATAAATATCTAGCACTCCGATACAATGCTCATTTGAATGTTGAAATCTGCGCTATGATTCACGCAGTTAAGTACATGTACAAATACGTATATAAGGGTCCAGATAGAGCAGCCCTACACATGATGAGAACAAACGGAGAAGAGGGAGCCAGAGCGATAAATGAGATAGACGCATTTGTAAATGCCAGATATGTATGTGCTCCGGAATCGGTGCACAGGTTGTTGGGTTTCGAACTCCACTCCAAATCGCACACTATTTACAGATTGCAAGTGCATTTACCAGAACAGGAAAGCATAGTTTTCCAGGGTGGTCAAGAGGAGGAAGCTCTTCGCCGTGCAACAGAGCGAGACACGACTCTCACGGCTTATTTTAAACTGAACGCGGAGCATGAGCTTATGTATGGAACTGGAAATGCACCCCAAGGGCAAATTGATGCTCGAACTCTACTCTATATCCAGCTACCCGAACATTTCACATTTGATCAGCAAAGTAAAAAGTGGAGCCCTAGAAAGAAACAGTGCCGTCAGATAGGAAGAATGTATACGGCAAATCCATTAGATGCGGAACGTTACAGTCTCCGAATACTTCTTCTCAACAGGAAGGGAGCCAAATCGTTTGACGAGCTCAAGACCGTGGATGGGGTAACCCACAATAGTTTCAAAGAAGCTGCGAAGGCCCTCGGACTCATGCACGATGATTCACACTATGAAAGCTGCCTAAGAGAGGCAGCAGAGTTCCGAATGCCTCCAGAACTGCGTTCGCTCTTTGGTAGTCTCATTTGCTTCAGTGATGTCACAGAACCTGAGCGGCTGTGGGAGCAATTCAAATCAGCCATGGCTGAAGATTACGTGCACCGTGGTTTGAGCGATGAAGAGGCAGTAATTCGAGCATACTATGATATAATGGACAGAATGCAGATTAGTGGAGTGAATTTCAGTAACTTTGTTACTCCTCCTGCCGATCGAAGACCAGGGTATATAGATGAAAGTCATGAGTCTGAAACAGAGCACGCAGCCCGTGGAAGAGAACTGATCGATAATTTGAATGACCGTCAGAAAACGGCAGCAGACGATATTCTGCAAACAATAGAGGCAGGACGAGCCCTAAAACATTTTTTTATCGATGGTCCAGGTGGAAGCGGAAAAACCTTTCTGTACACGGCGCTTTACCACACTCTTATGGGCAAAGGGAAAAGAGTTATATGTGTAGCTTGGACAGGGATTGCTGCTAACCTGCTACCTCACGGTAGGACTGCAAGCAGTACCTTCAAGTTGAATATCCACGACGGCTGCAAGACAAGCACAATGACAAGGGAATCAGTTGAGGCAAGAGCACTGCACGAGATTTCTGTTATTTTTTGGGACGAAATCTCGATGGTACCAAAGTGGACCTTAGAGGCGGTGGATGTTCTGTTAAGGGACATCATGCAAAACGAGTTACCATTCGGAGGTAAAACGATGGTTGTAGGTGGAGACTTTCGACAAGTTCTCCCAGTTATTGAGAGAGGGCGGCAAGAGGATCTGGAAAATGCTTGCATAAAGAACTCTCACTTATGGCAGCGTTTCATCACTTATCATCTTTCCGTTAACATGAGAGCTGCAACAGATAGTGGAGAATGGGCAAGAATGCTGCTCCAGATTGGAGAGGGGATATATCCAGAAGATGAGAACGGCTTCATCGAGCTACCTTCTACGCTCTATAGTTCAGGGGACATCATCTGTGAAGTGTTTGGCGAAGCGATTTCAGAAGAGGATGTTGCAGAATTATCTGAAAAGGCAATTCTCGCTCCTAAAAATGTACATGTAGAACAGATGAACGAGATGGCACTAGAGCGAATGCCTGAAGGGCTGCAGTTGAAAATATACAAGAGCATTGACGAGGCAGAAAATGCGGACCCAGAAGATGCTCTCAATTTCCAAGTAGAGCATTTGAACAATTTGCGTCCGAGTGGGATGCCCCCGCATGAGCTGAAATTAAAACAGGGATGCATTGTTATGCTACTACGCAACCTCGATGTATCCAGAGGACTTTGCAATGGAACAAGATTCATCGTAGAACAGTGCGGCCAATACGTCCTTGGGTGCCGATTTGCTACAGGGATTAGGAAAAACGAATTCGTTCTTATTCCACGTATAGACCTCTACACCGACAAAGGACTTCCATTCCGCTTAAAGAGGAGACAATTTCCGATCCGACTAGCCTTCGCTACAACTATAAACAAGGCACAGGGCCAGACGCTGTCGAAAGTTGGAGTGTATTTACCGGACGACGTTTTTTCCCATGGGCAACTATACGTTGCACTGTCACGAGCTCGCAACGCCGAATCAGTCAAAGTTCTTTCGACGAAAAAAAAGATCAAGAACATTGTCTACAAAAATATTTTGTAGATCATGAAATATTTTGCAGATCACCAGGTATAGTTTGTAAATACTACTCCAACTTCCGTGTCGCCGTGTAATTCTTTCATTTCAATCAAACTTGAGTCTCCGATGTGTGCTACCGTGCAAAACCTCGAGATCCCTCCATAACACCCTCCTATGGCAATCGAAAACCACCGCTCGAATCAACTCTCTGCCG